ACTTCGCACAGTTGGTACCGCGTGATGTCGTTTTATACGTCACAGAAGGGCTTCGGCAGATGGCGCTACGGTATGTATGTATGTATGTATGTATGTATGTATGTATGTATGTATGTATGTATGTATGTATGTATGTATGTATGTATGTATGTATGTATGTATGTATGTATGTATGTATGTATGTCCTACATACATACACGGTATGTATGTAGTTCACTAAGTATTACGGCTAGGTGGCGCTAGCCGCCGCCCGATCTAACGGGTACAGCCACATTCATCCACCCATCCATCTATCCATCCCTCAATATATACTATTAGTACAGTCAACGCCTCCTCTAGAAAAATGCCTGAGGAATGGCTCGCGCTCCCTGCGGAGTTGGCCTGCCTTCAGTTTTAAACAAGCTCCGCGTGGTAGCGCTCGCGACCGACACTATCATCATGGCGACGGGCGGTACCAGCTAAGCGTTTTTCATCTGGGGCCCATAGGGACGCGTCAGTCGAGAGTTGTTCGCGACCTGCAACTGTGCACCACTGTTTCGGAGGCTATGCAAAGTGTTGCGTTGTTGCACCGTCCGCCACCGGTGACACTAGCGACCGAGAACATTTTCAAAATAAAGGAAAAAAAGAGGTTGGCAGCTTTTTTTTTTTTCTCATGCGGCAGGCATCTTCCTAGAGGAGGCGTTGGTACAGTGTACTAGAAAGGGACAGTGGAATGAACGAACGAGGCGGCGGTGCCGCATCTCGGCTGATTCTACGGCTGACAGTAGCGGCGGTACTGTTGTCTCATGGTACTGAAGATCTCAGGAGCGTCGATTGGGAGCGCGGAAGCGTGCGAAAGCGTGTAATTGCCCGTTTTTAGCGCGTTTAACGCGTTTCTGAGCCTTTATCAGTGGACGCACCAGCTACGCGCCTGGTGCACGAGTGAATATGCAGGCACGCCGAAATTGCGTCGATAAATTCACTTTTTCAAGAGCCTGCCGACCCACAAACAGACACACACACAAAAATGTCAATCGACATTTGCACGGATCCGCCTAGCTTCTCATTCAAGCAGCGCTTTGAGCTGCGCTACATCATAAATGGCTACTGGCGAACTACAGAGAGAGGAGAAGTATTAAAACTGTGATTAAATCATACGCTCGTTTTGTCGGCAGTCTCTAGGATATCCAGAGCACAGTGTTTTTTTTATAAGCCTACGTGCACTCGATTGCTTCACGAGAAACACAAGTATAAGTAACGTTACAGCATTTACATTCATGCCAGTTTTGCAGAAGATAATAATTATTGCTTTCTGAAAGGCCTAATGCATATTGAACATATTAGTATCAGGCATTAGTATTGAACATATTAGTATCTGCATATTGAACATATTAGTATTGAACATAGTATCAGGCAACACCATGGCCTAGTGTTTGAACACGTGCCCGACACACACACAACCGGGGTTCAATTCTCCCTTGAATCGGAGTTTTACTATTTTATGAGCATCCTTCTAGATTTTTTGTACACAGACAAGATGACAATTTTTCACTCACAACCAATGAGACTGACAGGACTTTGTCAAATGAACTGTTTAACCCTCTTGCGCTAAAATGTAGTGTATGGCAGTCTAATGCAAGATGGTGCTGTATGAGGCGTAGTGTGCTCTTGTTAGCCTTGTACAGTAGATTCTTGTTAATTCATCGTCGAAGGGCTTTTTAAATTTTGTTTGAATAATCGGAAGATTACTAATTTTACTTACTTACTTACTAATCAAGCTTACTACCTTACTTACTTAATTACTTACTTAATTAAGCTTACTAATTTTACTTACTAGCTTACTAATTGTTTGAATAATCGGAACCTTGCTAATTGGGCAAGGAGACACATTGATTTTTATCTCATTTAAATTTTTTGAGCGTTTTTTAACCCCAACTGCACCCAATGAACAGAAAGCAGAGGTGTAAGGTCCACAAGATTATTAGCCAAACATTATTGATCAGACCTTTTAAAGAAATTGTGAATGGCCAACTGCTTCTTTGCTATATGTGACTTGTCATAACCGGCAATACAAGGAACCGGCATGCAAGGGACGCTCGTCGGCGTACCTGCAATACGCTGTCCGCGTTCCACAAGAACGCGGGAAATCTCTTGGCGCGCTGCGAGGAACGCGCATCGGCAGGCCTGCTGTACGCAGTCGGTGTCTAGCGCGTGCACAGACGGCTATAAAAGGAGCGTGTCGGGAGTGCGCTGGGCTCTCTTTCTGAACTTCGCTGGCCCGCTCGTCTCGAGTGCGCTCTGGGCCCTTGTGATGGAAAGGCGCGTCAGTACGCTCTCGTTGCAATGTACTTCTCTTGCAAATATGTAAATTAAACGCATCTTCTACTTGTTCGTGAGACGCGTCGCAAGAGTCGTCCTTCGCCGGATCCTGGGTGGCTGCCTCAACCCCTCCCCGGGCAGGTCGCGGGTTCGATTCCCGGCTGCGGCGGCTGCATTTCCGATGGAGGCGGAAATGTTGTAGGCCCGTGTACTCAGATTTGGGTGCACGTTAAAGAACCCCAGGTGGTCGAAATTTCCGGAGCCCTCCACTACGGCGTCTCTCATAATCAAATGGTGGTTTTGGGACGTTAAACCCCACAAATCAATCAATCAACCCCTCCCCGGGCACATCAGCCTATCTCTATACCAGTTGAGAAGCATCACGGTTTGCCATGCATGTGCTTCGATTCAAGCGTTTGTTTACTACTACTAGCAAAGCCTTTATCCTTGAAGGCCTGAGGCACTTTTTATTTTTAGACTGTTAGAATTATATCATCAGCCTGACTACGTCCACTGAAGGACAAAGGCCTCTACCATGTTCCCCCAGTTAACCCGGTCCTGTGCTTGCTGCTGCCAATTTATACCCGCAAACTTATTAATCTCATCTGCCCACCTAACCTTCCGTCTTCCCCTAACCCGCTTGCCTTCTTAGGAATCCAGTTAGTTACCCTTAATGACCAGCGGTTATCCTGTCTCCGTGCTACATGGCCGGCCCATGTCCATTTTCTCTTCTTGATTTCAACTATCATATTCTCAACCCCGGTTTGTTCCTTAATCCACTCTGCTCTCTTCTTGTCTCTTAAGGTTACACCTACCTTTTTTTTTTTTCCATTGCTCGCTGCATAGTCCTCAATTTAAGCTGAACCTTTTTAATAAGTCTCCAGGTTTCTGCTCCCTAGCTAAGTACCGGCAAGATGCAGTTGTTACATACCTTCCTCTTGAGGGATAGTGGCAATCTACCTGTCATGATTTGAGAGTGCTTGCCACATGTGCTCCACCCCATTCTTATTTTTCTAGTTATTTCAGTATTATAGTTCGGTCCTGTGGTTATTACCTGTTTTAAATAGACGTAATTTTTGTACTTTTACAACTTCTAGTGCACTATTGCCAATCTCGAAGCGGTGTTCTCTTCCGAGGTTGTTATACATTACTTTCGTTTTCTGCAGATTAATTTTAAGACTTTTTTATTTCTGCTCTCCTTGTCTAACTCCGTAATCATGAGTTGCAATTGGTCCCCTGAGTTACTCAGCAATGCAATGTCACCGGAGAAGCACAGGTTACTAAGATACTCTTATCCTCTAACTGTTCCCATTAACTCTTATCCCTAACTAACTCTTATCCCTAACTGTTCCCATTCTAGGCCTCTGAAAACCTCCTGTAAGCATTCGATAAATAGCATTGGAGAGAATGTATCCTCTGCCTTACACACTTCTTGACTGCTCCGCCGCGGTGGTCTAGTGGCTAAGGTACTCGGCTGCTGACCCGCAGGTCGCGGGTTCGGATCCCGGCTGCGGCGGCTGCATTTCCGATGGAGGCGGAAATGTTGTAGGCCCGTGTACTCAGATTTGGGTGCACGTTAAAGAACCCCAGGTGGTCAAAATTTCCGGAGCCCTCCACTACGGCGTCTCTCATAATCATCAGTGGTTTTGGGACGTTAAACCCCACATATCAATCGTCAATCAACACCCTTCTTGATTGGTATTCTGTTGCTTTTTTTATGGAGCACTATGGTGGCGGTTAATTCCCAGTAGATTTCTTCCAGAATGTTTATATATGCTTTGTCGACGCCCTGATCCCGCAGTGTCTGCACGACTGCTGATATTTCTACTGAATCAAACGCCTTCTTGTAATCTATGAAGCCTATGTACAGTGGTTGGCTATATTCTGAGCATTTCTCTATTACCTAGTTGATAGTATGAATGTGGACGATTGTTGAGTAGCCTGTTCGAAATCCTGCTTGTTCCTTTGGTTGATTGAATTCTAATGTTGTCTTAATTCTGTTAACAATTACCTTTGTAAATAGCTTGTATACTGCGAAAAGCAAGCTGATTGGCCTGTATAGGATTATATATAAGCACACAAAGTTTTAAATGTTAGTAGGAAAGCAGCGGATATTTTTAGGTATGGAATTGTAAAAAGTATGAATTAACCGAATGATGGAGTTCGAACTAAGAGGCTTTTAAATACATTGAAAGAATAGAGGGCCAACAAAAAAAAAACTTAATTTTATTTGAATTAATAAAAACTACAGATTATCAGAGTTTGAATTATCGCGAGTCTACTGTAGATACGAATACCATTTCTCTGTTCCAAATCAGTGGTCAATCACACATGACCTATTGCCCCACACACTTTTTGGCACAAGTGGCATCGGTTGGCACAAGTGACATCAGTGCAGTGCATACATTAACCGGATTAACGAATACTTATGTTCTGATGGCAGGATTGCAACTTTAGGCTTGTAGTGCCAAAGCCTAATGTTATGCCACAAGTCAGATAGAAGAGAATGACTGTCAAGAGTACACACGTCCAAGTAGATGCACTGAAAAGCGTGGTGCAATTTTCGCAACACTGGTGGAGAGTCGGCAATATGCCATCATACTACTTACACAGGCAATTCGCACCATTCAATTTATGAGGTAATTTGTTTTCCCTTGTGAGGGTGACAATCACAAAGCAGTGCAGGTGAGAACACAAACAAGAGGGCATTGAGAAGAAATTTATTCTTTCTTTAGGCAGTGCCACAACTGCTGCCAAATACTTGCACCGGTAAGGTAATTTGTAAAGCTCTTGAGAAACAACCCCGATTCCAGACGAGAATAATAACCGGAATGGTTCTGTTGTAAGTAAAAGAAAAGAAACCGTGTCCACAACAGATGGCAGCAAAATGAAATCGCAACAGTTGCCTTTTCTAGATATAAAGTACATAAGGAAGAAGAGATCTACATATGCACCAGTGCATGCGAGCAAGCAGTAGAGGGGCCAGCAAGCAAGCGACTGAATGCAATCACCGTTTGCACTTTTGTCTGCGTAACCCTAGGTGGAGTAGACAAACATCCAATTGCAGCCATCCTTTTACGTCTCCTAGTGTGACGAAAAGAGATGCATGCAACAATTTCACCCTCTTTTTGATGCCGATTCGAGGTGGCCCAACTCGGTCAACCAAAAGAGCTTCTAACTGTGCGTTTAACCATCACACCTCCCCATAGCTGCTGTGGCCCGTTTCCTGGGCATGCCTGCGCGCCGCTTCCTGGCCTACGAGTCCAACATCGCAGACAAGACAACGCAATGTGAAGTTGCGCACGTCAGTGTACTGGCGGCTGGCCTTGGCCTCTTGTGCCAGCTCAAGAGCCAGCGCCAGTAGTCCGTCCTCGCGGGTCGAGAAGAGCGTGCGCACGGGCAGGCCTGGCTCAAGCGGCTCGAGCACGAGCGGGTCGTAGTGGATGCCGTCGTAGAGCAGCAGCAACCGCTGGTCGAAGTCCTCGTCCGCCCCGAAACGGTGCAATCGGCCACTCTGCGCGTCCACCGCGACCATCTCAACGCGGTAGTGGCGGCTCAGCACTGACAGCTCGATAGCACCGCCCCAGTGCTCTTCATTGAGGATCCAGGTGCAGTACTCGCGGTTTGGACGACCCAGGAACGCTTCCGTGTATGTCTCCTTGTCAGCTGCCACACAGTCGGCAATCACCTGGGAGCAAACACATTCAACAATCAAAGCGCATGCAGGTCCTGTTGCAAGTTATTTCTTAGTTGAAAGAATTTGCACCCTGTTAACCTCTGCGCCACATATACGTGTACAACACACACACATATTAATACGTTCACTGCAGCACGCTCTCTTGAGGTCTCGTTAAACACGCAGAGTAGCCCACCAATGACAGCTGTGGGTCACCGGTGGGTCACAGCATCTAAGATCAGAAAGGTACTCTTTTGGTTATTTATCACTCCTTGCAACAAGAATCGTACCTCTTAGTTAAAGTGTGATTAAGTTATCGTATCAGTAAGCAGATGCATCCTAGTAACATCACAGCCGCATAGGATGAGCACAGGACGCGACCCACCAGTCACCCACGCCGCAGTGAATGTGTTCATAAATCAGACAAACAATTTGACAAGTAGCTTTTTAAAAATATTTTGTTCACGACAGAATAGCGACGGCAAGATGAATTAAACAAAATCAATGATTACCAAGTGGCATGGTTTTCAGAAAAACAATTACAATGTGCGCACACAATCCCTAAGTTAGTATAACCACCTTGCAAGCAACGCTGAACAAGGTGTGTGTGGTGCATAAATATCCACTGCAGAGAGTAAAAGAAGCATCAGGCTGTATACAGTGAAGGCCCTGCCACTGGTGTAGACAGTGATGCAAAACCAATGAGCGAATGCAATTCCTTAGCCCTTACAATACTTGTGATGTCTATTTCTTTCGTTAATTGCCTTTCTTTTTCTTCCAATTCTGTGTCATTATGCTACTGCACCAGCCCGCCGAACAAGCTGCATTTCGAAAGCGACACTTACTTGTGGATAAGTCATTATCTGGTCAACTTGAAATTCACGACGACATCCTGAAAAAATCCTCGCACAGTAGCCCACAGGGCTTGAAAATACCCCCAACACAGATGTAGGAGGCCACGTTGCTAAGCTTCGACCCTGACAAGCAGGTTACAGGGCAGGCAGAGGCAGCCCCCACGGAGCAGGGGCTCCTGGCCGATTAACCGTTGTGCGCCTTCCGCAATCGAGAAAACCACTTCGATCAGTAATTGTTTCGTCCTCCTCCTAACAAGACAGTGTCTCTTTGCCAACATTAATGTAACATCAATTTGGAGTACACGAGAGCTACCCCTTTCCTTTTTCTGCGTAGTTGATCCCACTGGGCCATGGTGGCCTGCAGCAATAGTGTGGCACCACACTAGTAGTGGAGCTTTGGGAGCTGTTGCAAGAGCTATTTGACAACGTAGGCAACGCTTGAGACACCAAGGTCTAGCAGGAACCTGTGACTCCTGAACCTGGAAAGCTTCTTGGGTGTACCTGGTGAAGGTGCATCAGGAGATAGTCATGTACAACTTAATAAGTTTGGAGAGGCCCCACCCAGATGACCAAAGAGCGGCAGCCAATCGCAATGCCCTTCAAAGGCAGGGTTACTGGCCACCCAGCTTATCACATCAGTCTGGTGTGCGCGTTTACTGGTGCAAGGCTTGTGTTCATCTGCCTTTGAGGAGTAAGAGTCACAGTCTTCAAAGGTTTTGTACTATTCGACTATACATAGTTTGCCTCTGGGTTTGAAGTCTTTCAGGATTAAGCAGGTCCTAAACCTTTCAAGGTTTTCCAGAGTCTCACAGGAAGTTGAGTCTGTGGCTGAACTGCCTATGAGCACCGGCACAAACCTTATTTCGGCCTCACTGTGAAAAGTCCACTTCGCAGGTCGAAAGTGATAGAGATCACCTACTCAGCGGCATGCAACCACAGTAAGGCTTTCCAGTCACCTCAGGTGTGCACTGTATGGAAGCATAGGCAGGTTGCCAATAACGGTGCCAGACGTTGTTACAGAAAGATGGAGGCTGCACCCGCAAAGGATGCACCGTTGATGTTCTCGATTATGAAATACGATATAAGGAGGTGCTCTGCCCACCTCACAAAAATGGTTTTGAACCTTGAAGTTTGCGTAGTTGGAAGTTCTGTACTTGGGCGTGTCAGCACATCACTAGCACCCTTCGTGAGAAGTGTTGTTCTGCGGTGTGGCCAGTGCGCGCCCAAGAAAAGAATGACGACAAGGGAGCATGCACCTCATTGATTCATTGATATGTGGGGTTTAACGACCTGAAGCCACCATATGATTATGAGAGGTGCCATAGTGGGGAGCACCAGAAATGTCGAACACCTAAGGTTTTTTAATGTGAACCCAAATCTGAGCACACGAGCCTACAGGATTTTCGTCTCAATCGAAAATGCAGCCGCCGCAGCTGGGATTCGATCCCGCGACCAGCGAGAGAGAGTTCACCTGTGTAGTGTAGTTCTTTAACAGTTTTTTTGTGTCTATGTAGTGAAAAAAAAAAGGCAGAGGGAGACTGCCCTCTCTAATGAACCCTCGCTCGCCACTGCGATGTAAACACCTCATGAGCAGAGGCACCACGGCTTTGAAAACACTGGTTTGTTGTTTGTGCCTGTAACCCCCCCCCTCCCACAACAATGGGTAAATGAAGTCTGTGCCCATCACTTTCGCACTCTTCTGTATACTCTATTGCGACACTTGAAACAAATGCCAACCTAAAATTATAGCCTGAGCAGACAAAGAAACGGTACTCAATGTCATTAGGCCATAATTTTCCACAGCATTATGTAATGCGCACAAACCAGACTACTTTCGTGCAAAAGTACATGAGCAGAACCTATGCCCTTTATTGCCAAGAAAAATTGTTCGCGAGTGTAGTGGTCATGCTTAGGCATGGTGCTCGCAAACAAATCCTACCATATACCCAGTATGAACAGCACAGTGATTGTGGAGTGTTTTGAATGAGAACCAACAGTTCTACATGGTTACACAACATTACTTGCATTGCAGGGAAACAATGGCACAGTGCCACTATACCAAAGGTCAGCAAACTCGCTTGTGAGTCCACGCATCGGAATCACACAGAGTCAGATCTAGCCCAGAGTCTGAGTGAGTTTAGGTGAATAAACTTTAGCAGAGTACCAAGGACAAAATGTATTTCTCGAGTGAGCTCCGCATTCTTTTTGCCGGCCTATGGTACAAAGTGCATGTCAGCATTACTATCAGACTTATGTCGGCTAATGTTTATACCGACGCCTAGTCAGCATTATTATCAGACTTATGTTGGCTCATGTTTATACCGACGCCTACTCACACATAATTCAGTGCACTAGCGTTCATACACCAGCTTAAGGGGAGACATGGCTCTTGGGATCCAAAAAATTTGCCAAAAAACCAAATTTTCAAAAGTGTCATTTTCGTACTCTATCATCGCGTACCTGTGTGCAAGTTTTCGTTCAAAATCTCGCGTATTAGCAGCGTAACAGTAAATCAAAGATGCATTAGCACCCACCCAGCCCTTTATATAGTGAGCGAATCGTGCTTATTTCGGCCGCCTGTAACTCTTAAACCGCCAGCTCTGACTCGGCCATTTTGGTATCGTTAAAAAGCTCTCACATTCAGCTTTTTTTGTCGCTCAATCGGGCAACACTGAGCTTGCCACTTTCTTAAATGAAAATAAAAAAAGAAAGCAGGTGTAAAACATTGTCATTGGCCACTTCCGATCACGTGGCTAAAATGGTGTCGTCTGATTGGCTTAGAGCGCTGAATTTGAAAATCGGGCTAATTGAGGTGCCATTTTGACTTAGGTTACGATCCTGCGACAAACGAGCCTGAAGGTCCGAGAAAGTTCCACTCGGTGTATCATATCAGCCGAAGACGAGCCAAAATGAAAAAAAAAAAAAAAGTGCTAACGTTACGACATCACGGGTTTCTGCAAGCGATCAGCAACCGAGAGTCGTTGCTTCAACACCCGATAACGGCGATGGAGGTGATTGCAGTCAACTTCAAAAAGGCACGTTATCACACCGCTCTGCAACTGATTATCAAGGGACTTGCGGTGTTGGGGCATCCGGAATTATCTGCACAGATGAGTGCGGTCCACAAGATAAGGGCATGCTGTCGTCCGGCTTTACAAGCGATAAGCAAGCGACCTGCGACAATGCAACTGACAGCGATCTTTCCGAGAACAAGGGCATTCTTCGCCCCGACTCTAGCCTTGTGCGAGTTGACGGTGAAGCTGTCACGAGTAGCGACATAGCCCAAGTGAGTGCTTGTGAGCAGGTCATGCCAGAAGGACTTGAGTCGACAGCGCGAAAGACTGCGGTTTTCACCGGTACAAGCAACGCATCATCGGGCTAGGCTGCAGATACTGCAGCTTCGTATTTGGTCTACTTGGAAATCCTAAATGAGCTTCTCGCTCATTCCCTACAGTGCAAAGCACGATGTAAAGTATGTGACGAATGTGCGAAACTCGTCATGGGTGACTGCGACTACCGCCTCGCTAAGAAACTGATAGTGAAGTGCGACTGCTGTGGCGAAGCGATGACGGCATGGAACTCGCACCGAGTCGATGGTGAAAAGTCGTGCAATGCATTGAGATAAACATTTTATCTACCTGTGCAATGCTTTGTTGTGTGAACGGCCAGACATTCATGAATGATATTTTCGCGTCTATGGGACTGTCGCGGCAGGGGCTGCACAATAAAATGTTCCAACGGCAATTTTTTTTCTAGCTGGTTCCTCAAAGTGGCATTTCTGATGGTGTCATATTGGAGCAACAATATCGCTGGTTCTACTCAACCAGTCTCAATAATTCCTTTTCTTTTCTTTTTTTTTTTTTTGTCAGAAAGGTGGTGAATTGACAAGTGCAGTAGGACTAGTGCATAGTTACATATTGTTAAAGAACATTGATAAAATATTTTTTTTTGAAATTATTATTGGGTTCTACAAATAAATTTTCAGATGCCCTAATTTTATTCGAGATTGTTGTAAAATATTCTTGCCTGATTGAACTCGTATATCATCCTCGATCACTGTAGTGTTCAAACGATTTCCATAATTATTTCTAACTTCTCTTGAAATGTTTTCTCGCTTTCTCAAAAGTGCGTTTTTGATTATAATGCACTTTTGGAGTG